AGTCTACTGCCATCATGGCAGGACCCAGTACTGTCTAGACCATCCCTGATTGATGTCTGTCTAACCTGCTCTTAAGACCATGTAACTGATCTTATATGTTCTCATTCTTTTTTGATATTCACTTGATCAACATTTGCATAGGATGATTACTTAGCTTTATTTTGTATCAGTCTTACCCACTCACTCGCACTATGACTTCACAGCCAAGTTGACAAGCTTCAGGGTGTAACTATGTCTGAGGACCACTTAATTGGATATTCTCTATAAATGTGCATATATACATGCAATCGATCACTTTTCTCAGGAGTGTATGTATTTTATATTCTCGCTAATGGTCATTTTATCTAGGGAGTAGAGATTGCAGTACATTAATTGTGCATGTTAAATTGCAGAGTGATAAGCTATCAGTGATAATATAAATTAGAATTGTATCTAAATTAGGGTCTGAAATGATGTATGAATTCTTTCCCCCCAGTATATTCCACATCTTTCTCTCACAGCAAGGTAATTGTTCATGCTGTGAACTGTCTAAGCACTGCTTTATAGAAAGCTCTTTCTGTGTGACACACTTGCTCTCTGGCTTGTATTTTTGGTTACCTTCCTTTATACTTGTAATTAATGTGACAGATTTTCTGAAGGCTCCCTGCCAACAGCATGTTAAGCCAAGAAGCCAGAAGAACTTCCGGATTAAATATTACCCTAAATTGTATTTTCTACTATGTTTTTTACCATTTGATGCCAAAGGTTGTCTTTTATTGTGTAGTGCATGAAGGGTAAGTTATACAGAAGTGATTTTAAAGTACCACGCACTGGGAATATGTGTCAAAATAAATGAATGAGGGTTTTGTGGGTTATTTAATCTGATCAGTCTTTCTATCAAAACCCTTGCCTTTTAAAGCCATAGTTGTGAACAAAAGACTCTTTTTCTCACTGTCACCTTTTGCTCACTGTGTTAAGGTAACTAAAGATTGCTTCCAAATTTTTTCCTCCTGTTGAGGTACTATTATGTAATTTACAGCTTGACTAAGGCTCCTGAGTACAAAATTCCAGACCAGCCTATTTGTTCTCTGGTATGGTATCTATTTGAAATGTCATTTTAATTTCATACTTCTTGTTTGCAAATGTAGATATTCAGGTCTGATTAAAGAAAGAAAAAGCAAATCCATTAATGTCTCCTTTCATGGGTAAACCTACAATAACACCAGTGTGTGTGCAAACATGTGCTATGAGAGAGAGACTCATTCCTACTGTGCCTGTCAACTCTGGTCCTCTGTGTTGGCAAAAAGAGACAATTTTACAAGAATATCCTTTCTGAAGTGCTGCGTGCATTTCTGGCAGACCAGCCTGGAAACAAAGGTATCCATTCCACATATATGAAGCAAAGCAATAATACATATTGAATACACTGAGAAAATAAAATCAACAGTTTCATTCAGGTGTGAATTTCCAAGATTCAAGGATAAAAAATGAGTTTAAATATGAAATGTATCTTCATAATAACTCTCTATTTACAAGGTCACAAGAGATTACAGGACAGCATTTCAGCTCTATACTAAATATTCTGCCCCAATGTTTTCCACCAACAATCTCATGGTGATACACAAGAATTAATAAATTAATCTCTCAGCTGAGAGAAATGTAAACAGTAGCATCCCCATTTTAAAAATGAGAACTTAAGCACCAGAGTGGTCAAATGTTTCAAAGTGCCTGCTTACTTTGGGTGTCTCCAGGGCCGTAACAAGGGTGGGGCAAAAACGCAAAAAGTAAAAATAATAAGCTGCAAAAGTGAGGAGCGTGATGTGTGCTAACCTATGGAGAAGGGGAGCATACTTAATATTTTGCCCTGGGCACAAAAATGCCTAGTTATGGCGCTGGGTGTGTCTCTGTTTGGGTGCCCACTGCAAAACACAATAAAGCCTGATTTTTAGGGGAACTAGGCAGCCACAGCCCCAGTTAAAAATTAAGAGGAACTGCTGATGCTTAAAGGTAATGATAACACAATTTAAAATCCACATTTCTTATCTATTCTATACATTCAGTGGTTTATTGTATCATGTATTAAATTCAACCCTTAAGTACTTAGACATTTGGATGGGGCATAAAGAACTCTTGACTTCTATTGTATGTATTGAATGATGATAATGTTGGCAAGAAGATAACCAGTTGATGAAATGGCATATTTAGATTTCTCATTGAGATGTGTTTAATTTTTCAGTAATATTACTGTATTACCATACGTATATAACAATTCCCAAGGAAATCATTTAAAACAGTGTAAAATCAGATGGATTAAAATTAGAAACATACAATAAATGTACCAAAAGTCATATGACTGAGGTGACTCTCCCAATAAGGACTTTAATATATGGAACCGAGAAAAGATTATAAAAGTGTAATTCTCATAATTCTTCAGAACATATTTAGAGGGAAAAAAACCAGTTCTATTCCAAATATCAATGCATCTCTCAATGAACATTAGACCTTTCCAGTTTCAAAAGTAGATTCTTGCAGACAAGAACTGAGGACTAGATCTAACAGTTGACCAGTTCAAAACAAAAGATAACAGGTGATTAAATCTATGATTAATATTTATAATATTAATAGTGATAGAAATGTAGCCGTGTTAGTCTGGTGTAGCTGAAGCAAAATACAGGACAATGTAGCACTTTAAAGACTAACAAGATGGTTTATTAGATGATGAGCTTTCGTGGGCCAGACCCACTTCCTCAGATCAAATGGTGGAAGAAAATAGTCACAACCATATATACCAAAGGATACAATTAAAAAAAAGAACACATATGAAAAGGACAAATCAAATTTCAGAACAGACATTTCTGACAGACATTTACCTCCGCGCCCCTCCCCCCCCCACATCCCCTTTCTGTTCTGAAATTTGATTTGTCCTTTTCATATGTGTTCTTTTTTTTAATTGTATCCTTTGGTATATATGGTTGTGACTATTTTCTTCCACCATTTGATCTGAGGAAGTGGGTCTGGCCCACGAAAGCTCATCATCTAATAAACCATCTTGTTAGTCTTTAAAGTGCTACATAGTCCTGTATAATATTAATGATTTATATAAACAGCTGTTTGTGTGAATCACACATTTGTATGTTTTAGGAACTTCTGAGTTATAGACCATGCTCACAGTGGTTAAACATTTTGAATATTTTATCCTATAAAATAAACACTGCAATGTTAGGAGAAGCCCAGATTCAAGTATTAAAATAAATTTTAAAAAGGTCAAGGTTCTGGCTCCCGAGCCACACAATTCTTTTTTCAACTAATCAGTGAACACGAGTCAGATTTGGTCAGTGAACATAGCTTGTCTTTTTCCATTATATTGGACAAATGTCCTGTGTATCTTGCATCTACTGTTTGAATGGCACTGGTTTTAGGAATACTGTTGCCATGAAGGACATTCAAGGTTATGTAATTAGGCATGCCACCTGGACAAAATAGTTTGAACTGTGAGTGCTGACCTCAGGGCAGACTGTCAAGAAGCAGAGCAGAAACTCCAAATTGGGTGTGTGAGCTATCGTTAGATTTCACCAACTTAGTAACAAACATGAACTCCTAAAGTACTGTAACAGTCTCAGCACAGTGTCACGGACAGTCTCCGTGGGCATGCCATTTCCCCTGCCACCCAGGCAAGCAAGACTTAATGATGGGTGGTTGTTATACATCAAAGATCACAAAAGATTCAAGTTGCTCCCTGTCCCGAGGGGCAAGTCACTTGCCCCAGGTCAATTTGTACCCTCGATCTCACACTAAAAACAATGCTTGCAGCCAATCCTGTAATAAACTGACTAGAGATTTATTAACTAGGGAAAAAAGGAGTTGTTTACAGATTAAAATGGGCAAACATATATACACAGGTAAATTACAGTTTTTGGTTACAACAGATGACAAATATAGTAAATCTATCAGCACTGATGGGCTACGTCTAGACTGGCCCCTTCTTCGGAAGAGGCATGCTAATTTCTAACTTTGGAATAGGGAAATGCGCGGGGGATTTAAATATCCCCTGCGGGATTTAAATAAACATGGCTGCCGCTTTTTTTCCGGCTTGGGGAAAAGCCGGAAAAGAGCGTCCAGACTGGCGCGATCCTCCGGAATAAAGCCCTTTTCCGGAGGATCTCTTATTCTTACTTCAAGTTTAATATTATTCAAGTAGGAATAAGAGATCCTCCGGAAAAGGGCTTTATTCCGGAGGATCGCGCCAGTCTGGACGCTCTTTTCCGGCTTTTCCCCAAGCCGGAAAAAAAGCGGCGGCCATGTTTATTTAAATCCCACGGGGGATATTTAAATCCCCCGCGCATTTCCCTATTCCAAAGTTGTAAATTAGCATGCCTCTTCCGAAGAAGGGGCCAGTGTAGACACAGCCATGTATTTTAGGGCTAACCCAGGTTGAGCCTGGGGATTCTGCTTCTATTTTGTAGAGCCAGTCCTGTGTGAGGCTAAGCAGCAAAAGAGGTGACACATTTTCTTGCCAGGCATTTTTATATTTTTCAAGCTGATGGGATGAGCCCTTTTGCTTGTCCCCTCTTCATGGGTGTGAATGGGAAATTAATATTATTATGTCCCACAATGACCTCTTTAATTTTGATAGGTTTCTTGATAAGCAGGTGAAAATCCTTCTTTAGAATCACAGTTGGGCTACGTCTACATGGGCATGATCTTGCGCAAGAACTCTTTTGCGGAAGAGTTCTTGTGCCAAACTCTTCCAGAAGGGAGCATCTATACTGGCATGTGCTTTTGCGCAAGAGCATCCATGGCAGTGTAGACGCTCTTTTGTGCAAGAAAGCTCTGATGGCCATTTTAACCCTAGGGCTTTCTTCCGCAAGAAATTCATGTTGCCTGTCTACACTGGCCTCTTGCGCAAGAACAGTTGCGCAAGAGGGCTTCTTCCTGAGCGGGAGCATCAGAGTTCTTGCGCAAGAAGTCCTGATTTCATACGTTAGAGCGTCAGTGTACTTGCGCAAGAACATGCGGCCAGTGGAGACAGGCAGCAAGTTTTTGCACAAAAGTGGCTGCTTTTGCGCAAGATCATGCCAATGTAGACGTAGCCTTATAGAGGAAATGTTTTTAGTTATAAAGCAAAAATACAAATATTACCTTGTAGCATGTGATGAACATATTGTAAGTGAGGTTAATGTATATGCAGCATCTTACAAGCAATTCATAAAGTCTAAACACATAAGTTCAACATCCATCTTAACCATACTAACACACAGGAAAAACTGACTTGTTTCCAGCAATGAATTTGCCAGTGCTCAGCTGAGGCCTACAGCCATGGCAAGAGCTGGCACCTGACCTGCACCAAATATTTTGTCTGATTGTAACACACACAGCTGGAACCTTGTGGGACATAATGTTCATGCTACTGTGTAGATATGCTCTCTATTCTATGCATTTCCAACTCTTCTTTCCTTTCTGAGCCTTTATCATCTTGTGCTCACATTGCCAGGAATTTTCAATGCTGATCCATACCTGGAACACGATACATAATCCAGTGTGTCATGCTAAGTCCCTCCTACCTTTATTTCACTTTCCACTACTCACTCCCTTCCCCCTGCTCCACTACCAAAAATTATGCATCAAAGGATAGGATTTTCAAAAGTGTCCAACTTTGGCCTGTCTTCAACAGAATTAGAACTAGGCCAACACTAAATGCATTTGAAAGTCCCACCTTTGTGCTAAATTTCCTGATCTACTCTGTCTTTATTTTGCCCTTTCTGCATCTGCTATTAGAAGTATTCAATACTTACTGAGATGACTGGTTGCGTCTAAGGCAAGGACTTTATGGGTTTTCTATTTATTCCTACATATCAACTGATAGTATGGGGAACAGATTACAAAAAAAGACTTATTTTCAAAGTATTTATTACACACTGGAGTTAACAAACAAAACAGTCTCTGGTGAGGTCATAATTATTTCACTTTCTTTCTTGTCACCACAGAGTCTCCCACAATGGGGAAAGCCTAAACACCTCATGTAAAAACAAAAAAACTCAAGCAGACAATCCCCCTCTTCCTTAGCTCCCCAGATTTTTTGAAAGAAACACTTCAAGTCTTTACCCATCAAAGTAATAAAAGGGCACAAGTGCTCCATTGCCCCTTTTGCAGACCAATTTACAAGGGCTGAGGGTCTACCCCAGTACAACGTCTCTGAAGTAGCTCAAATGAATTTACTGGCTCTATGCCCAGTTATGGCAGCCAAGAATCTGGCTCATTCCATTCAGGATTGTGTAAAGCAGAAGTAGGCTATGGGCATGAGCAGTGAATGAAGCTTCTGCTTAGGAAAGCTCCACCCCTCTCCATAGCCCCAGCTACACCCACACTTCACCCCTGCTTCATTCCAGGCCATGCTCCCACTTGGCTTGCTGGAAGTGTCCCTCGGCCTCCCACCCCCCCAGGCTTGGCAACCTACTGTTTGCACTCTTGGCTGAGTACCTCCCTCCTCTTCTCCCCGTGCCTCCCCACTCACCTCCCCTGTCTGAAACCCACCTGCAGCTAGCAGGGGGTGCGCTGAATGAGGAGAAGGGGTCTGTGGCAAATGGCAGGGGGGCTGAGAGTAAGTGGGGAGCAGAGAGGCGGATCTCAAGTGAGCAGTGGCAAGATGGAAGCAATGAAGAGGAAACCCATGCAGCCGAAGGCAAGCGGAGAGGTGGGGACTGTATGTGGTGAAGAGTCAAGCAGGGAGGAAAGGAAGAACTGGCAACAGCAAGTGAGCAGAGGAGACCTCCAGAGAGGGGGATATGAGGACTGGTGACTGGAGCCATGGCAGCTGGGGAAGAATACTGAGCTTCAGCTTTTATATGCTCCATGCAGGTTGCGAGGCAGTGGAGGAGGTTCTATCTGCTGTTCACATACAGGTTCAGTAGTAATCGCTCGAGGGAGTCAAAGGAACCTGGGAAGCTGAATACCAGATACAGCTTCCTCTGATGCTCTGGAATCTGCATGAAGCACAATAAATAAGGGGTGGGAGGGAGACTTCCTGTGGAACACAAAGAAGGGTAGAGGAGGGGCTACCACAGCCCAGGCCTCTGCTCATGGCTATGGGCATTTGTGCTAGAAATGTTTGAGAACTCTACTTTTTTTGGTGCTAGAATAATGATAATTGTTCTAAATCTTTCAAAAACGTTTTTAACTTTATCTGCAGAAAAGGACAGAGGAAGGAAAACAATCAGTGAAAAGTTCCCCCCGAGTCTAAGAAAGGGTGGGCAACTTCAGCATGCCAAATTAACACCACTTTAATGTATTAGATTATTACAGTCTAATTGCTGACACCCAGTAGTACGCCCCAACCTTACATCTTCCAGTAGCAACCATTTCACTGCTACATTACTGTCTCAATTAACAGAAACTTTATTCCCCCCTTCCCTCTCCCCCGATATAGGTTCTTATATCTTTCTCTCCTACGACAAAATAGCTCAGAGGGGATGGTGGATATGTTGTGTGCCCTGCGTTCATATAGGAAGTGTAGCACATTTGTTGGTGATTTCCAAGCACTGTAAATTACAATAGCAGCTGTGCCCGTGTGGTATTTATTAGTTCTGCACAACTGTGTTCAGTTATTAGAAGGTGCTTCTACTTGCACACAAAACACCTGACATTTTCTTATCACTCATAAACTTTGTTTTCTTTTATGACAAATTCAGTTAGTTACAGAGATTAATTGATTGGATAACTAGATGGAATTGTGCCAATAACAAATAGTACATATGCAAGGACAACAATCCCCAAATCACACCACACCAGGAATACAGGGGGGTCTCTTTGACCTAATATTTTCGTTCACTTGATAAGAGCTACCTCCCTCTTAACATTAGAGCAAATAATATAGCTGCAGTATTCCTCACAGAAAATTCAGTCTCTGCCTGGTAAATGCACTACTTCATAGGTCAACTTTAAAGGACCTAAGATTGGAATTTAGGATAGAAGACAATGTGGAAAGAAAGTATCAGGAATCTTCTTTTTCTGTATGCTGTCTCCCAGACTGTTGACTGTGGCAGGATACAACCCTGGTGTTGTGAAGTAGCCGTTCTCTGATTGGCAACGGCCTGATTCACAACACCAGCTGCTATACCATACCATGTACACTGATGGGAGTGGGCCTCCAGGCAGCATGCTCTTCAACAGACTGCTCTTTCCCAGCTGTTGATGTTGTCTGTGTTCCTCACAGTTACTATCTAGAAAACAAAAGAAATATGGCTAGATTAGACATTGACACATCCTGCAGCACTGCCTAATTGTTCTAATTATAAGATGTTAAATGTAAGACATTAACCATTTGTACAAATAAGTGGCATTGATACAGTGTTAACATTTTACTTATTTTTAAACAAATTTTAAAACCACACAGGTAATGGTGTACAGTTGGCCTCTCATCTTTTATATAAGATTAGATCTTTCCCTTCCCTCATTCTCCTCTCATGCCACAGGGACTGAAAGCTACAAGTCAAGGGTTGCAATCCAGATTCCCTGCAAAGCCCTGAGATTCACAGAAGAAAAGAAAAAAGGCTTTCTCCACACAAATAATCACCTGAACACCTTTTGAATATCTCCCATTGATATGAATAGAAGGTATTCAAAAGGTGTTCAGGTGATTATCTCCCATTGATATGAATAGAAGGTAGATGCCTTGTGAGGATCCTGGCCAAAATCTTGAATGGTGTATCCCTTCTAACAGCCATGGCTCCCCAATCAGCCATTGTTACCATTAGCTCTCGCCACCTTCAGGCCTGCATCATGTCTATCTCTCCAAGGCAGGAGGCCCTTAATGCGTGCTACATGAAGCAGTATTTATTTCTCTGTGGATTTATTCCTGGGACTCTGCTGAGTTTGGTGGGCAGTATCACATGTGCAGGGCTAGCTCTGCATTGCCCCTCCCCTCCAAATTTTTCTCCATCCTCTACTGTGACAGAGAGGGTCTTGCAGGACCAGAAGAGAGCAAGTTACAAATCTTCTCTTTCTCCCTATGGTACTCCCTATCCCAAATGCAGAAGTCAAGGGCTACAATAAACCCATTATCATTCAAACCACTCTCCTGTGAAAGTCATAGACAGAGTTATGAATTGTATGTTTCATGTTATTAAAAAAATTCCTGGCTTCTGCATGGATAATAGCTCTGATAGCAATGGCTGTACAAACTCTCGCACCCTGACAATTACAAAGATATCTCACAGAGCACAGCAGTTGAGCATCACATTGCAGTGACAGCACAAGAAATGGACTCCGTTTTAGTTCCAAGTGTACCCCAAGTGAACAATAACTGGTTGTTGAGATGATCCAGGCGACACTTATGAAATTATGTGCATTATTATAACACCCGTGATCCCTAGTCATGAACCAGAACTCCATTGTGCTAGACGCTGTACATAACATAGAATAAAAATGCCATCTCTGCCTAGAGAGCTCAGGCATCTATGTGGGCACTCATTCACAATGCCACGTGTGTGCAAGTACTGATCTGAAAGATGAGAAAGAATGGGTTATTTTCAGAGTGCAAATCAGTCTATAATCTACCAATTTACCATGTGACGGTGGGGACAGTAATTAACCAAACCCACAAGATAGCCTGCTCTTGAATCTATCAGCTTTACTGGGGTTATATTAAGATGTGGCTGAAGTCTTTGTATAACCTCTTATTGGGGACCGTGCACAATGGAGACTATTCGAATGCCTGCCACTTCAAAAAGGGGGCCTATATTCTCCCATTTTCCATAAGTGTTCATCAGGAGTAAAGCACAATATCTTGGGATGGGGCAAAACCAACTGCACTCTGCCAGATTCCCAGCCCCCCATGCCCGTAAGGAAAGCTAGCAATCGTGACTAAATGACAGCAGTTACTGGGATAGCATGTCTTGTAGGAGTCATGCAGGAGTGGCAGCAAACTAAGGGTATATCTACACTTGCACCCTAGTTTGAACTAGGGATGCAAATGTAGGCCACCGAAATAGTAAATGAAGCGGGGATTTAAATATCCCACGCTTCATTAGCATAATCTCGCCCGCGTGCTGTTTTGGAACTCAGCTGTTTCGAACTAGGAAGTGCACTCCGGGCTGCATTAGTTCGAATCAAACCCCTTGGTTCGAACTAACGTTACTCCTCATTTTTTGGAGTAAAGCGGCGGGCGAGATTATGCTACTGAAGCGCGGGATATTTAAATCCTCATTTCATTTACTATTTTGGTCGCCTACATTTGCATCCCTAGTTTGAACTAGGGTGCAAGTGTTAGACGTACCTCTTGGGACTAAGCAGCAGTTTGAAGGTAAGATTCCAACAGGTAGGAAACCTTTAGGAGCAAACCACTTGGCCTTTACCACAAGACAAGTAGACCCACCCACCCATTAGCTCAGAGGAAACTCCGCAAAAGCCCCATGTATAGCCTCTCCACAGTCTTCTCCCAGCATGTGCAGGGGAGCAGCAACCAGATTTGGTCCTTAGGCAGAAAAGCTATTACCACATGTAATAACAGACTACTTTTCAGTGCCAAGTTCTATTGTGTAGTTGCTGTGGGAACTGTAGCAGAATTTCTTGACACGCGTGTGTATATAAAGTCTCATCATGTTGCATTAAGAGCTTTTATTGCAATAGAATGTTTCCCGAGTTTCAGTACACCAGACCACACTGAAAAAAAAGTCTATTTATATTTAACCAATATTTGTACTTAACCTTTACCCTAGAAAAGAAGCCTTGAAGCGGAATTCATATTTCAGTTTGTATTGATCAAGATGACATGATAGTTCTGGCCTTTCACTCCATTCAACAGAGCACATTTTGTCACAAAATAATGCCAAACACTTTTTATACATTCTGTTTCATGGGAGCACTAGAGTCTGTCACTAGTAAGTAGAATGGGTAGGGAAAAAATGTGTACTTTTTCAAGATTGTTTAAATCTCCAGAAGCCTCTACACTATTTGTCAATTTTTATTTGTTTAAATTCGTTTATTGTATGCATCACTTGCTCAGTGAGGGAAGTAAGCTTGAAAGATATTTTTGGTGAGAAATAGTATTACATTAACCAATAAGTAAATTGCACGTAATATAAGACTTCCTCTCCCTTTTACTTAATATGCATTTTTCATCTATTTATTGGTGGAGACTAGAACTATGGTTGCTTCCATCTTCTTTTACACCACATCATTCTAAATACATTCATATTATTGCAACTAGGGCCAGATCTTATATGCAGTCAAACATACAATTGCATATATTTCAACTAGTTGCATGCAGGGTGGGTCCAATAATATTAGAAACAAGGGGTTGATGAGATACTATTTTTATTGGACCAACTTCTCTTGGTGTGTAAGCTCAAAAGTTTGTTTTTCTCACCAACAAAAGTTATTTCAATAAATGTTACATCACTCATCTTGTCTAATACATTTCAAATGGCACGTATTTAATAGCCAAGTCTGCAGAACTATGTCTTCCAGCAGTGGCCAGAATATTGTCTCAGATTAGCCAACAAGAAATTTGTTGAATATAATGTAGTTATTCGGGATTTACACTGGTATGATAGAGTAAAATGGCCATTAGAAGCAGAAAAATAAACCCCTTTCCTGTCTGTAGAGAAGTTAGAAAACCATGCCAATAATTTAAAAAGATTTTTAACAAACCATCCAATGACCACCTACAGAAGACTTTTTTTTATACATTAAACTTACTTGTAGTGAAACAGATGATGTAGCCTGGAAAACTACAGCACTAAGGATAGCAACTATAGCCCACTGGCCAAAAGTTTATTAGTCTTGGTAATATTCCATGCAAATAGATTTTCCTGCTTTGGTCACAGCAGTCTATTAATTCAGTCCTCTTGTCTGTTACATCTTTATTCTCCGCAGGTTAATCCTGCCAAATTCCTTTGCTGTAGTACATGTCACACAGCCTATAATATCCAACAATACAGTTTTGCTAATCCTGTTTTATCAGCTTTGTTGCCCTGTCTGGTCAATACAATAGTGAAAAACCACACACAAGGTTTTTGCCAAGATTTTTTTTTCAATATGGTTTCAATTAAATGGTTTGAGAGCAGAACAGAGTATTTGGACATGTGCCAATGTCCTTCAGACACAGAATGTCAAGGCACTTAATTATACAGATCTCCAAACTCTTTCAGATGTCCCACCTACCCAGTAAACTGAATATACTTAACGCAAGTGTAAAAAATCAACTCCAATCTCTTTTAAAACACTCTCCATCCGTTAAGGATTTGAAGATGGCTGAACACCAATGTATTTATTGCCCATTACCTTACTAGCAGATTAAACAAATGAATAAAGGCTGCCTCATTAGCAGTTCTTTGTTGTCTTGTTTACTGTTTAGTAGACTCATTAATTATTAGAAGAGGCACATTCATTCTTGCAATAACCTTTGTCAAGCCTGGTAAACTGACTGCTAACCAGCAAATGAATCCTGATTTTCATGTTAACACACACACACACACACACACACACACACCCTCAGTAGTGTTCTGATACACAATTGCTTGTATTTCTTTTTAATATATTTGTATCCATAGATCATACCCAAATCTCTTATGAAAAGTAAGCAATGGACAAAAGGAATTCCCCTTCCTTCATCATACCATATTTATTACACTAATTACTTAAAGGGAATACTCTCATTTCAAGCCGCGTGTGCATCCAGACACATATTTACAAAAAAGCTCATTAATATTTTTTTCAATCCCCAGTTTCAGGATTCCATATAAACATAAAGTGAGAGCTGAATGATTTAACCACCTCAGATGAGAACTGCATACAAAGTTGTAGCTATGTTGGTCCCAAAGTATGAGAGAGACAAAGTGGGTGAGGTAATATCTTTTATTGGGCCAACTTCTGTTTGGTGAGAGAGACAAGCTTTCGAGCTTACACAGAGCTCTTCTTCAGCTTTCATCAATAGCAATTGGCCCAATAAAAGACATTTCACCCACCTAGTTCCTCAGATAAGAACTCTTTATCAAACCATTACATGACATTACATAACCCTCTAGCCCCATTCCCTTTTAGTATCTGATAAACTGATCCCAAATTGAGGAAACTTCCGAGTAGGGATGTGATAAAAAGCCAAATTAATATCAACATTAGTTATAAATTAATTATAAGACTTGGAAATATATTTTAACATTGGCAGCCTCGTTTCTATCATTTAAAATACTGGGAGGGAGGAGGCTGTGAGTTGCTAGTT